TACAGTCCCCCTTGAGTGCTGATAAGGTTCATGAGAGGTAAGTGGATAGGCTGTGTGTCTTCTGGGAAAGCTCCTGAGAAGGCGACTGACTCAACTGAGCAGTGTTATCCCCACCCCGCCCCCAACTTCCTTCTGGTTGGAGCTCTAGTGGTCACCTTGGACCATGAAAACAAAGAATGAAAGTCACGAGCTAAGGACGGTGGAGCAGAAAGGTAAAAGAATCTAGTTCTCTACTGAGTCTGTACTGCTGCCGGAACCTGGACCTCCACGACTCTTTTATATGTGGGAGAAATGAACTTTGATCTGTTTAAGCCAAACTCAATTCCTAACTGATAGGCCCGCTGTCAACCTTCTGAATGGCTTCCTTCCAGGCTCACCCCTATCTTTTGCAGGGCCCAGGCCAAGGGCAGAGGTGGAGCCCCCTCGCATGCAGCCTGCCCCCTTCTCTTTCCACCCCGGCTCTGTCCACTTTGTGTGGACATCCACAATCATGCTTCTAAGCTCATCTCAGGGCTAATGCTGCCCCTTGGCCGCTCTGCAGGCCTAGGGTACACACACTTGCCGCCAGGAGGACAGAGCCCGGAAGAGGCTGGTGTAGGCTCTGGAAGTGGGCTCAGAGCCATTTGGGCAGGGAATTTCAGGATCCTAGGACACCAAGTCATGGTCTAGAAATGGGAGAAGGCTCCAGGTGGCGTGTCCCTTTGCCCTGAGATCTCCTCACATTGAGGGGAGAAGCATGGCCCTTGAAGGCACAGGACCTAGGGCAGAGGCACATTGCCAGGGTCTAAATGTGATGGGACTAGCCTCTTTCTCTCATCTCCTAACGCTTGCCTTTTCATCATTCACAACTTGACAGCAGAGCAAAACCTGAAGTAGTTCGGTTAGCCACTTGTTGTAAGAGCCTTGGTAAAATTATCTTTTAGAGGAAAAGTCCTGAACTATAGCTTGAACTGTGCTGTCGTCCTCTTATCCTTAATGCCACTATCCTCTCTTTTATTAGACTGTATAACGGAAACTTGATCAAGGCTGGCTCTCTGGCAAGCTTTTCTTTGGCAAGCTGTCATTAGGATGGCGAAGCACAAGTTTATCAATCGGCTGCAATATTAGTGCCGGTGGACTGACTGAAGGAGGAGTCTAAATCCTTGATCTCCGTCATTTACACATTTGCCTGTTTGAGGTAACTCTCCAAGTGGTACTTAGCTGGAGCTGTTTGCTAGAACACTGCACCCTGGGAGGGCAGGGGAATCAGCTGCAAATCGTGGCCACTGAAACTGGAACAGCGACTGTTGCCCTCAGAGAATCATATAGGAGCAGGTGGGAATTCTGCTCAGGAGAGGAACTCTATAAGGTGTGCCATTGAAATGATCCAGGATTGGGCCCCAAACAAGCTGGATACTTTCTCTGTTACTCAGGAAGCCCCCCACTCAGCCTAGGGTAGCAAGGACTGAGACCTGATGTGGCAGTGCCAGAGATGATGGGTCCACCCCTCCAGCTCCCACTTCTACAAGTGCAAGGTCTCATTCCTTAAGGACTCTGTCTCCTGCACGTGGCCTGACTGACAGGACTGGTAAAGCTGGCTTCACAAACGTGAAAATACTCAAACCACCGCACTATCTCTGTGTACCTTGGAAGTTCTCTTCCTTTAGTTCAGTGATTCTGTGCCTTATTTTGGATTACAGATCTCCATGTTCTAATTACCAAAGGACATGAGAGATCCCCCACACTTCAGAGAACTGTCATAGCCCCTTGCCAACAGCAAGGCATAGTCAAAAGAACACTGAGCAAATCATCTGAGATGTAGGTACTTGCTGTGGATTGAAAGTTTGTGTTCCCCCAAAATTCCTGTGTTCAAACCTAATCCCCAGTGCAATGGTTTTAGGAGGTGGGGCCTTCGGGAGGTAATGAGGTCATGAGAGTGGAGCCCTCATGAATGCAATCAGTGCCCTTGTAAAGAGACCCCGGAGAGCTCCAATGCCCCTTCTGCCAATGAGGACACAGCTAGAAGACGGCCATCTATGAATCCAAAAGTGGACTCTCTCCAGACACCGAGTCTGCCGGCACCTTGATCTTGGACTGCCCAGCCTCCAAGACTGTGAGAAATAAATGTTTGCTGTCTAAGCCAACTAGTCTATGGTATTTTTGTTATAGCAGCCCAAACAGCCTAAGACAGTACTTCCATCCCCAACTTTCTATCTACATTTTGTTGTTTAGTTTTCCCCTAGAAAAAATGGAAGACATGCGCTAAATGATTTATAAGCTCCCTCCAAGCTCTGAAGTTCAATGGCTCTATATAGTTCTATGAAATGACAGCCACGTTAAACATTCTTTCCCCATCCTCATCTAACTTTTCCTCATCTTTCAGATCTTTGCTAAGAAGTGGGTTCCTCCCATAGGCCTTCCCTCACCCTCACCAGCCTGCAATGTGGGCTAGGAGACCTCTCTCTGTTCCCATGGTGCACTGCACTACCCTGTTATAGCACTCCTCTCACTAGGGTGTAACTGTCTGTAAATTAATTTGTGGGTTTCTGCTATCTGCAAACTCTGGGGGGACAGAGACCAATCTTTAAGGTTGTATCCTCAGCACCAATTCCTAGCAGGAGCTCAATGATATATATGAAATGATGCTATGAGTGGATGGTTCTGATAGCTATGACCCCCTCTGGTCACTGCACTGATGGTGAAAGATGTTCTCAGATAACCATTCAGGGAACATGCTGAAATAGTCTTTGTTCTTCTGCCTGCATTTAGAAATAGTCTTTGGACAGATGTACCATGAGTACACACCTAATAAATCAGATTACCACATTTTTTTAAGGGAAAAAATGAAAAAAATATCTTCCATTTTTATGATCAGAGAAACCCAGACTATTATACTCAGCTCAGTTCTCATTAATAAAACAGACAATCCTTTGCCTTCTCACCTGAGCTCTTCAAATTAATCTAAGGCCTGGTTGTCACAAAGCATTACTAATTGTATGGGACATCATATATCACAAAATTGGAAATGACATACATATCTAGTCACAGAGAGCTGGTTAAATAAACTATGACACTCAACTGGTGAACTCATGCAGCCTTTGACATTGGTGTCTACAATATAATCTGAAGTTAAAAAGTGAGACACAAAATTACATATGCAGTATGACTGCCATCATGTAAAAATATATCAAATATATGCATAACATATAGAAGGAGACACGGCAGAATATTAATAGTGGCTGTGTTTGTGTGTTAGGACTGTGGATGATTTTCTTTCTTTCTACTTTTCTTAATTTTGCAGGTTTTCTTTAATGACCTTTAATATTTTACTCTCATGGTGAAAAATCAAAATCAATAAATCATTCAATTGTTAATTGAAAACACCTTGTTATTTTCTGCTATAAAACTTTTGGCTGAGCCAGCCCTGATGGCCCAGTGGTTACAGTTCAGTGTGCTCCACTTCAGTGGCCCGGGTTCGGTTCCTGGACTCAGAACCACACCACTCGTCTGTCAGTAGCCATGCTGTGGCGGCAGCTCACATAGAAGAACTAGAAGCACATACAACTAGAATATACAACTATGTATGGGCACTTTGGGGATGAAAAACAGATAAATTAAAAGAAAAAAAGCTTTTGGCTATTGATACTGGTGTGTCCATCTGAAAGAGCTGTATTCAGGAGCACAGAGAAGACCCTGTGGTGAAGCCAGTAGAAGCAGGGGATGGAAACACAGAATCCTCTGGAGTAGCAACTTGCTGTGTAATAATAATAATAATCACTGATTGAAGCTCTTACTCTGTCCGAGGCACTTCCCATACATTTCTTTTTTCATTATGTCCTCATAAAAACTGCAGGAGATAGGTACTACTGTTACTCCCATTTTACAGCTGAAACTGAGCTTCGAGTCATCAGCTCTTTTGCTAGTACGTGCAGGAGCCGCAGCGTTTGGTCCTGGGCAGTCTGTCTCCATGGTCCACCATTTCCCCACTATGCTCTACTGCCCCCTCCAATGTAAAAGGAGAGGCAGGAAACTATGGCAGAAAACTATTCATTTTCTGAAGGGAAAATGAGTGTATTGCTAAGCCATACTTCCCTTCATGCAAGGATCTTTTGTGTCAGACAAAGGTACAGCCTCCACTTCTATTTTTAGGAGATTGTATTTGGATAAGTTCTCAAATGACTCCTGCTTATCAGTGGAGATGGTCCCTTGTAACTACTTGTTCACCATTATTATCTCAAGGCTCTAACCAGAGTGTGGTCCATAAATTGTCCCTCTCTACACATAAATCTGCTGCTTTGGAGCAACAAGACCATTTATAAATGCTCTCATTGTGGCCAACTTTGCAGACCCAGACCACGCCAGCTGAACGATGGTCACTCTCTACTTGCCAGAACAATTATGGGCGATCTTTCTCCATGTGCTTGTTGAAAGTAGATTCACCCTGCAGATGTCAACTGAATGAATATGCTCAGCTGACACCATTAGTGCACCTGAGCACTTTAAGGCTCTCTGTTACGCACTCACATTTTCTCTGCACAGAGACCTACTGGTGTAACATTTCCAGAAGGAGGAGGAGGGGAGACTTCACTACAAGAGACTTCCAGGGGAAGAGAGCAGGATACCTGGAGAAAGTCGAGACCTGCTGGAGTCAAGCGCAGCACTGAAATAAAGCAAGTTCTCCCCGCCCTCTCTGCCACCCCAAGGAAACACGAATCGGGGCATGGGGAACTCCAGAAACAGATCCCAGGAAATCAGTTGTGCAGATTGGTCTGAAGGAAATGACATGGACTTAAAGAAATCTATCTCAAATTAAAATTAAAATTAAAAACAAATACGTGAACAGGGAAAACTTAATGAGCAAAAGGGAATGAATAAACAGAGATCAATCCTAACAAGAAGACCACAGCATCAGGGAAAGTGCTGTGAGGACAACTATCTGGGGATATTATTGCTCCCCATCGTGCTCTCCGTCTCTTGGTCCCATCCCCTGAGAGACAACTCTATGGTGTCTGCTCACTTACTTCCTTTGGAACCGGACCACAGGATCAGCCAGCAGGTCAGTGACGTCAAGCTTTCTCCCCTTCTCGATGACATCTCGATGCTTGCGAACAAACAGCCACCCGATATGGGAGAAGAAGAAGCCGCGGCGGGCGTTGTGGGGGTCAGCGTCGGTCTCTGAGTACTTATGGTGGACTCGGTGATCCCTGGACCATTCGAAGATGTCGTTCTGCAGAGAGAATGCAGAGCCTATAAGTGAAGAGACAAAGCACCCTGGCGCCTTCTTGAAAGCTTCTCAGCCTCTCCCGGAACCCCCTCCATCCTCACCGCTGACTTCCACTTTGCTCCCATCGTCAACCCCACGACCTCTCAACGCCAAGTGCAATCTCTGGGGCTGGTCTGGGGTGGTTTTCACCAAGACAAGAGTAAACCCTCACTTACTAGGAACCTTAGTGTGTATTTGGGATGTGCCGACTGCAGGAGGTTCAGGCTTGTTGAGTGAACTAGTGGGGAAACCTGAAAGAAAGTTCTGGTGGGGGCTATTGAAGTCACCTGGGAGGTCACTCATGTCAAGAAAAGAGAGTTCCAGTCTCAGGATGAAGTCTTAGCTGTCAGAGGAGAGGGGCAGCCCAGAGCAGGAAAGGGGGTTGGTTCTAGATCTGCATCTCTCTGCCCTCCCTCCCCCCTTCGACGGCCTCATGTCCAACTCATAGAGAGCAGGAAGCCAGTAAGCAAAAACCCAAAGAGCTACTTCACCAAATCCCTGCAAAATACCAAGGCACAAATACTACTGTTTGAGGACTGCTCTATTAGTGTGTCACAGAAAGGGAGGGGAGGTGACTCGGCTCCTTGAGGAACCCGGTATACTTGGCCATATCCACCAAGTGGAGAAGCAGCAATGCCTGAGGGGCAGGCAGCACTCACTGGAATCCCAAGAGAGACTCTGGTGCCCAAGGAAGGAGAAGCATCAGAGTCCAGCAGATTGTGCCAAACCCAAGACAGGGTGGGGCTCAGGCACACATGAGGACACACCTGTTGATCCTCTCATGATGGGAGACCGTGGGAGAGTGTCTGGGGGCTGGAAGTCCTGGGTGAGCTATCAGGGGCAAGAACCAAGGACATTTAGGCTGATATTACAAATGAAACTTCATCTATAGCCAGGGGCCAGGGAGATCTACAGACTTTCAATTTACGCTCAGTTTTGTTTTTATGTGATAATGCGTTCAAAGCTTTGAGAAGGCAAATTAGGCTGGGAGGTAATGCTTTTGATAGGAAAATTAATCTGAAAATAAAAATAGATTTATATAGGGGATAAGACCTTTTTTAAAAAAATAATGGTAATAATGTTTTATACTATACTATTCAGTACTTAGTCACATTTTCATTAGGAATCAGCCATTTCACAGATATTGGCTTCATGCTACTGATGAGAAGAAAGGGAATTGTTTTATTCTCAAAGTTCTGACAGTTTTTTTAATCAAAAGGGGGTTGTTTTTGGTTTCTCCGGCTTACCCAGTGCTACTAAAAGGCTACTCAACCTCGTTCATCCTATTGCACCATTGAAAACTTTTCAAATTTGCTTAACCCTTGGGTAGTGGGACAGAGAAAGAGGAGATGGAAAGATCTTAAGAAGTACACGCTCAGCCTAGAGTATGAAGAGAAAAAGGGGTGCTTAGCAGTCTGTAAGGCAAAAATCATAGCCTGGCTTACTGTGATAAGAAAGAGGTTTTCAGACTTTTACCAGTGTATTTAAACACAGTGGTTGGAAAGAGTGAAAGCATTTATTATTTATAATCACAGAATGTGGAGTTGGGAAGGAATTTCAAATGTCAGTTAAGGCCCCTGCAGCCCAAGAAATAAATCATCCCTTTTGCATTAGTTTATTGCTTTTACTGCAATGCCCATCTGAACATATGAAGAAAGGGGGACACTCTGTCCCCAGTTCACAGACGGCAAAATGAAGGCTTAGAAGACATTTCCTCAAGTTCATCTAGGGAGTCAAAACAGTAACGGAACAAAGATGGCTTGTTTCTTAGTTCACTTTCCTTTCTACAAGATCTTTCCCTTATTTTCCAAATTTGGTGGTGGTGAGGGGCAGACTCTTACAGAGAACTCTCATTTTTCTTGTTAAAAGGTTATTCTGGTTCTTTAATTTATCTCAGTGCAATTTTATAAAAACTCTAAGTGGAGAGTTCCAAAGGGCTAGAAACATTCTCACAAAATTAAGCGTAATACAACAACCGCAAAAGAATGATGATGAAGACAAGTTGGAACAGAGATATTTATTTTAATTCCTCTTACCTGGATACCTTCCCAACAGAAGAAACTCAACTGTGGCAGTGGAATGAAGCAAGAATTTTGGCCACATTTCAAATAATCAAGCACACAATTGAGCCAAAAATACCTTAAGATGTATTTGTCAATCCTTTGTTATTGTTTTGCTTTTGTTTTTAACTCTAAAGCTGAATCCAGTGAAAAACTGACTCAAAGAACAAGATGTAAGCCAAGAATAGGGCAGAAAGGGAGCAAGATTCATGTGCTCATCCAAGGGCTTTTTTCTTCCTACTTATCTGCATTTTGCTTCTGTCCTAGAGGGACTGGGAGTGGGAGCCAACCTGTGGACAGCATTTGTGTTTGATGAAAAGCTGTGTGTACCTAGGGTGTGACTGGTAGAGCCAGTGTGTGCGGAAGAGAAAGCTGAGGGCTGACGAGGAGGGAGAGATGGCTAGGCAACCTCAGGAGGTGGGCGTGAGTGGAAACAGCCTGGAGTTGCAGCCACAGCCCCAGCGATATCCTGGTAATCTTTCCTCCCAGTGTTTACACAGTGCTGATTCCTCTTGTCTGGAACTATGTGCGCCACTCCATCATCCTTGCTTCACAGAAAAAAAAAAAAAATCGAGGCATAGAGAGATGGAGGACTCCATCAATGAACTGACTCTCAAGTGCGTATATTGCGTCTGCTCAGGCCCTCGTTGTACATTTTCATAGGGGCATGATGTAACTCAGCAGCAATTCCTGAAGCCCAGCTACTTACCCATTCTAACAAATCAATTAACAAATGATTCAATTTGCAACTCAGAGTTTACACTTAACAGCCAGTGCTGGTAGAGCACAGCCTTAATAGGCAACCCCATTATCTTCAAAAGTGAACTCTCACCACGTGCTTATTGATCATTCCTGACAAAGAATTGGAGTGGTGAAGGAGCTCCATTAGTTCTAAGAGCCCCGGGTACAACTGAGGCACAGGCAGGCGGGGAGCAGGAGAGAAGACAGCAGAGCAGGAGTGTACAGCTCAGGTGGGATGCTTTACCATCTGAGGACCCATGGTATGGACCAGGTTCTACTCTGTGCTGTCCAAGAGAAATATAATGCAAGCCACACATGTAATTAAAATTTTCCTAGTAGCCATATTAAGAAAGTGAAACGTGCGGCCGGCCAGTGGCATATTGGTTAAGCTCAGGCACTCTGCTTTGGTGGCCCGGGGTTTGCTGGTTCAGATCCTGGGTGCAGACCTATACACCAATCATCAAGCCATGCTGTGGCGGCATCCCACATAGAAGAACTAGAAGGACTTACAACTAGGATATACAACTATGCACTGGGGCTTTGGGGAGGAAAAAAAGAAGAAGAAGAAGATTGGCAACAGATGTTAGACAAAAAAAAAAAATGAAAAGAAACAAGTAAAATTAATTTTAATAATATATTTTACTTAATATATCCAAAATATCATTTCAATATACTATAAGCATAAAATTATTAATGAGATATTTTACAGTATTTTTTTCTGTACCAATTCTTTGAAGTTGGGGGTGTATTTTATACTTCTGGCACACCTCAATTCAGACTAGCCACATTTCAAGTGCTCAGGAGCCACAAGCACTTTGGGGCTCCCATCCTGGACTCCCATCCTGGACCACGCACGTCTAACTCACAGATTGTACACTTTTCTATGTGTGTGTCGTCCTTTTAAAAGTTTTTAAAAATTCAATGTTGCTTGCTGGTAAGAGCATGAAACTGGTACAAACCGCATGAAGGGCAAATGGGCTGCATGTATCAACAGCATTTAAACCGTACACATCATTTAACCTAGCAATTCGTTTTCTAGAATTTATCTTAAGGAAATAATGATGCTTCTGTGCAAAGATTTAACTACAAGGATGCCCACTGCAGTGAGAACTCGGAAAAACCCTGGATTTCCACATAACGGATTTGATTGAGTACCTTGCGATCTATTAATTAACTGCATACTATTCGTGTGTGTGTGTGTGTGTATACATAGAAAGATTCTGGAGACTAATATTAAGGAAAAAGTCTTAGAATTACCTCAGGGGAGTGAGGCTGGGAGACAGGAGATGAGGAGAAATACTTTTTACGTTTTATCTTATACTCTGAAATTTTTAACAAGAGCATCTGTTAGTAGTATTAAAAAACTAATTAACGAAAAAGGACATTGTAGTATTGACACGGAAAGATGAGGGGAAAGTAGTTAAGTGAAAAACAGTTTTCAAAATAACATGTACAGTGTGAATCCATTTTTTAAGAAAAATACGTATTTAAGCATAGGAAAAATAAAGGAAGTACGTAAGTCAACTAGCTTACAGCAGTTCTCTAGGAAGTGGGAGGATGCGTGATTTTTAATCTTTTTCTTACAGTTTGTATTTTCTAAATTTTTATAATAAACAAGTTTTCTTTTGTAATATTGGGGAAACAAGTTATTTTTTAAAAGTTTCTATACTCCTGAATCAAACCACCCGGGCTCTGCCATCAGCCCCCAGTAGGAAACAGTCTAGGAAGCAGGAAGTGCTCTGGTAACCAGGCAGTTATCTGTCTTCACGTCACCCTGCTTCCACCTTTGCTCTGTTAGCACTAGTCAACCAACCCCCCTCAGCCGGCCCCGTGCCCCTGCTTCAACCCGTCCTGTGTTTTGTACCTTTATTACTTCACTCTCCATCGTAGTAAGATCCTGCTGAGACTGCAGAAATTGAAATTGATCATATGGTGATTTTTTCCCCACAAGCACAGCCTTTGAGTATTCTCCAGGACTTGAGCAAAGGTAATCGACCTCAAAGGGCCAGTGAGGCAGATTACGAAGCAACCTGCTCCATCAGAACTACTTTTCCCCAACTGTCTTCTACGTTCAAAATAAATTCTTGAATTTAGTGCTCTAAGGGGCAAAAGGGGAAACTGTCTTTTAAGGTCCATGTAACTTCCACTGGGAAGCAAGATGAA